AGGGATAGGGAATTCCACAAGTCTGAATTCATGGGGCAAGGGATTCAACTCCTCCCAGTTAAAAAAGAAAAGAGGTTCTCCTTGAGATCACCAACAGCTCCATGCTTCCTCAGTGATTCCTAATTCTTCCCTGCTGCCAAAGGTGCTGTGGGTGGCCATTAGCCCCATGCTGAGGAATGCTCTATAGTGGAAGGGGAGACACATCACAGAGAATGGTTCTACTTCCAGTCCTGCCCCCTCTCTCGTTTCAAACCAGGACCCTCACCGGGGGCCTTCCATGGACAAGGTGGTAACAGTGCTACTGAGGCCACATTCCTTTCTTCTCTATCCCAACTCTCACCATTTTATTAGGAGTCTCACAATATTTGCTATTTTTCTGGACACCCCAGCTCCTGAAATCATGTGATTAGGTAAAAAATGAAAGCAAGTTTCTAGCTCTGAGATCTCTATGGAGAAAAGCTTGAAAAACATGACCTTGGGGCTCCCTCAAGTTTCAGAAACAAGATGGCAAATAAAAGGAAACCTTCATGTATTTATTTTTCAACCTCACGATTATTAAGCAAATCATTTTGGAGGTCTAATTTTTTTTTTAAAGTCTGCAGTTGGCTACTGATCCAATGCCTGCAGTAGCACAGGGAAAGTCTACCCTTCCGTTCCTATTCAAAACTGCAATAACAGAGGGATGTCACAAACATGTATATGTGGCCCTCTTGCTGGACCAAACCAAAGAAAACTCTCTCTGAGATAATCTAGCTCCTATTAAACTTAGCAGAGAAGAACACTGATAACTCCTAGACAAGCACCATGGTTTTTGTCTTTTTCCCCTCTTTAATATGAAAGCTTGCCCAGCATTTTGGATGTCACCTCCTTGCTAGCAGCAGCATTTTGAATTTCTAGTTTCATAATAATATAGAATCCAGGCACTTGTTTAATAAACTATATTGTAACACTGAAACAACACAAGTGGCCTAGGACTTTAAAAGACACACCTCGATTGGTTCTTCACCCCCTTTCGCCTGACTGTCACCTAGCTCCCCACTCTCGTAGCTGTTGCTCTTTTCAACCCACAGTTCAGATTTTTCTACAGTCAGTCGGAGCTGGTCAAGATCAGCTTTGATTTGCTTGTAGTTGTCCACATCCTGATTAGACACCAGTAACTGGACCTGAAAATACAGTAATCCACAGTTATATTACAGTGCAGCAGCAGAGCGAGCTGCAGCCTCTGCAGTCAAGTTTGCTTATACTGGTTTCCATTTTAATGCCTTGGTTTCACTGCCTTGCGACCTTATGAAATTATATTTTGAACTGAAAATTTCCCTCCGTTGTCTCTTTAGCCCAGTTCAGCAAAGCCCTCAATTACAAACTGAACTTATTGCCATAAAGACTGTTTTGCCCAAAGCAAAATGATTACAATGTTTAAAACATTCTGCCTCCTTTATCTTCACGCTACAAAAATGTTTGCAATGTAAACAACTGTCTATAAGCCCCTGAAATCTATGGCAGAGCTAATGATGACATCAGAATGATGGATCTTTTGCTTTTAAAAGAAAATAGCAAAAAGTCATTTATTCCATGTAAACAATACTTCCTGAAAAGAAAGCTGACATAAGAAATCAAGCGATCCAGATATGAACTGAGGAGATAATTTCAATATTTTCCAAATACTGAAATTTCAATTATAATTTACATCAACATTTTGGCTAAAAATGAAGGAAAAAAAATATATGTGACCTAATTTTCATTATCAGTGATAGAAAAACACACCTAAGTCTCTCTTTCAGCACTGATGCCTGACAAGTCTCATATCATTTATCCCCAGTTATGATAGCTTGCATTTTTCCAAGATGAATCTGTTTTTTCATTTCCTGTCCATATATCTAATCTTTCTTTCTCCTCATAACGCCTCCAAATTTAGTATGATCTTTAAAGTTCCTTATCATGCTGTTTGTGCCTTCTCCTACACTATTAATGAAGAGATTAAACAAAATTTGACCTAACAATGATCCCTGTATAATCCAGTAACCACTATTAAGAAATCAAATGCCACATCAAGTTAACATTATCACATGGCAGATAAGAACACTGATAATATAATTTTTTTTGCGCTTTAAACTATATTATCAATGTTTCAGCTGTTTGCAAATATCCAATATTTTATAATATAAAACTCTGAAATTCTTCTATGCTGCTTGCTTAACAGCATACAGCCTTGTTGCCTACTGAATTGATGTGTGCTACTCATCCCCACATTCATATTCCATTTTCTCTACAGCCTTTGTTTATTTGCCAATTAGTCTTTTCCTTTCTTTACAAAAAACGTATTAGGTACGCAACTCTCATTTAACTGGGAATAGCAGCTATTTATGCATCTAATCAGCATGGTCCCACTTTAATATCCTGGTGGGAGGCCATTATGCAACTCTGCAGAAGTATTACAACAAAGGCTTGCCAGCTACTTGTCATTTGTCTGGTTTTAAGACAAGAAAAACCCCCACCTTTTACATAACGAAGCCATGACACGATGGCAAACTCCTGAAATAAGCATCCAATGATCTCAAAAAGTAATTTATATGTCACCATAACCAAGAGTCCTCTATTATCTAACCCCATTATATCAGGTTTCTTAAGCCTAATCTATTAGCATGTAAAATATTTATTCAGCAATGGGGTTATTATCTAGTAGGCAGAACAGCAGCTGGCTAGCTCTATTATTCACTTTCTGTTATTTGTGTCCTTGGGCAAGTCACTCGAGCCTAAATGTTCAACAGCAGCTCCCATTCCAGGTTTCTCAGTTTTGGGGTGTCCAGTTTGAGACAGCTTGAGCTTGGCATGAAGCAAGGGGGCTGAATTTACCCCTTCAATTTATAAGGAAGGGACATTCTAATACCGTGACAAGCAATTTAAGTGAGATTGCTAGGCTTTGGAAAGACTCTTTTTTTTAGTAGATTTCATGAAACACCCCTGGTACCCGTACCTGTTTAAATGCTTGCAAAACTTCTGCTCTTTGGCTGAAGTGCTTAAATAGCAGCTGGAGGGCCCCTGACAGCAAAGGAGGGTAGTCATGCATGATCAGGTGAATGAGGACTCGTAGAAATGTTCTGCCCCCCTCATCATCAAGCTGAACTGGATTTTTCTCTTTTCTGCAAAAACCCAAGTCAGTTAAAAACCTGTGGCGTGAATAAATAAATAAATCTCACACATCTTTGATGGCGTACTTTAAAAAAAAAAAAAAAAAAAGAAACAAACAAACAGGACAAAATGTGAGGTGTAAATTAAAAAACACTCCCCATTTTAGTTTATTTTATAGAAACTTCAATGTCTGGGTTATTTTCTTTGTGGAAATCTGATGTTTATAACTGAATGGCCATACTGACTGAAAATAAATACAGGCAGTCCCCGAGTTACGCGGATCCGACTTAAGTCGGATCCGCGTAACTCGGGGACTGCCTGTATTTATTTTCAGTCAGTATGGCCATTCAGTTATAAACATCAGATTTCCACAAAGAAAATAACCCAGACATTGAAGTTTCTATAAAATAAACTAAAATGGGGAGTGTTTTTTAATTTACACCTCACATTTTGTCCTGTTTGTTTGTTTCTTTTTTTTTTTTTTTTTTAGTACGCCATCAAAGATGTGTGAGATTTATTTATTTATTCACGCCACAGGTTTTTAACTGATGCAGCTAGTGTCCCCTCTCCCCCCTCCCAGCAGACCAGGCTTTTCTTGCCTACGCCTGGGGTAGAGCAGCTGGGGCGCTGCCGGGTTGGTCCCGCAGCACCGCTCCTCGGTGCTACTGTACCAACCCGGCAGCACCCCAGCTGCTCTGCCCCTGGTGTCCTGATTCAGCCGCTGCTGGTCAGTTTCAGCAGTGGCTGAATCAGGACGCCTAGGGCAGAGCAGCTGGGGTGCTGCTGGGTTGCTCCAGTAGCACCGAGGAGCGGCGCTACTGGAGCAACCCAGCAGCACTCCAGCTGCTCTGCCCCATGCGTCCCCAAGTCAGCCGCTGCTGAAACTGACCAGGGGCTGACTACAGGAAGCCCGAGGCAGAGTTGCTCTGCCCCGGGCTTCCTGGAATCAGCTGCTGATCAGTTTCAGCAGCAGCTGACTTGGGGACGCCTGGGTTTCTTAAGTTGAATCCGTATGTAAGTCAGAACTGGCGTCCAGATTCAGCTGCTGTTGAAACTGATCAGTTTCAGCAGTGGCTGACGCCAGTTCCGACTTACATACAGATTCAACTTAAGAACAAATCTACAGTCCCTATCTTGTACGTAACCCGGGGACTGCCTGTACATACGAAATGCATCAAATGCTGTGATTAAACACTGTTTTGCAATACACTCATATCTTGGTGACCAATTCAACCCTGGTACAAGCCCACTCAAGTCAACAGAGTTGCACCAAAGATGAATCTGGCCCTTGATTCCTTCCCCTTTTAGCTGCTGCTAAAACTTCATTTAGGAAAAATGAACCAAAAAACCCAAACAATAAAAATTGCCCAAAGCACCATGGAATCATATTTATAATCTGGAAGGACAGAAAACAGATTCACACTTAGCATATTAAAGAAGAAATAGTGTTTCCAAGAAGCCATTCAAACTCAGTGTTCAATTCAAAGATGCGGGTGCGAAACGCCACAGCAGAGCTGTATGTTTTTCATTATGGGAGATGAGGGACAGAACTGGAAATGTTCCTCTTGTTGACAAAGACTGAGAACATATAGGGGACATCCTCAGTGAGGAAACTTCAGAACAGTCATTTCAGATATTTTTCCTCCTTCTCCTGAGCTCTGGGTAAATATCTTTAGAGTGTAAGGGCTTGTCTACACAGAAAATGTTTCCAGTTATAAGTGCACCAGTAGAGTTAAACCAATATAGGGTATGTCTACACGGCAACATGATTTTGAAATAACTAGCGTTATTTTGAAATAACTTAATCCATGTCTACACAGCAGGCAGTTATTTCAAAAAACTGTCAAGCTGGAGGACTTCTTACTCCGAATCCTGTAACCCTCATTGTACGGAGTAAGGGAACTCAGAGGAAGAGTGCTCTATTGCAAAATAAGTGCTGTGTAGATGCTCCCAATTTTGAAATAAGCTATTTCGAAAGAAGATACGCAATTGACTTAGTTCAATTTGCATGGCTTATTTTGAGTTAAGCCCTGCTGCGTAGACACACCCATAGACATACCAGCACAATTTTCCCTATGTCGACATTCTTATTCCAGAATAAGAGTGGGGGTTTTGGCTTAGCTTAAGCCACCTCCAAAGTGACAATTAAACCAGGAAAAGGCTCTTATACAGGCAGTCCCCGGGTTACGTACAAGATAGGGACTGTAGGTTTGTTCTTAAGTCGAATCTGTATGTAAGTCGGAACTGTTTCCAGATTCAGCCACTGCTGAAACTGACCGCCAGTTCTGACTTACATACAGATTCAACTTAAGAACAAATCTACAGTCCCTATCTTGTACGTAACCCGGGGACTGCCTGTA